ATGCTCCGTGTCGACGTCCAGGACCTCGTCGACCTCGTCACCCGGGCCGGGCCACGCGCCGGTGAGCGCGCGCTCGCTCGAGCAGGCCCTCGACGCCGGGCTGTGGGCGGCCGCGGCCTCGGCGGCGCCGGCTCCCCCCGCGCTGCAGGTGAGTGGAGGGAGGAGGACGAGGCGAGGGTGAGCGCGAGTGGATCAGCGAGTAGGCGCGAGGTCCTCGTAACGGCAAATCCAATAAGAATACCAAAGCGTCTCCAAATAGGCACGCGCCACGCATCCCCCTCGCAGATTCTCACCAAAGTGTTTTTTTTATGTCTTTTTTTTCCCCGTCGCTTTTCCCTTCTCTCTTCCTCCTCTCGCCGTCTCTCTCTGATCGTCAGACAAAAGCAGACGACACCAGCGACGGGCCGCAGGCACGGCCGGCTGGCGGGGCAGAGCCAGGCCATAGGGTCTGCATTAGCGGCGGGCCCCGGCCCCGGTCCCGGCCCCGGCCCCGGCCCCGGCCGGGGGGCGGGTGGCGGGGGTGAGTGCTGGTGACGTTAAGAGCGTAAGCTGTGCAGCCCACGCCTCGGGATGGGATGGGATGGAATGGGATGAGCCATCGGATTTCCGTTCCAAGCTGCGCTGCGCGGACCACTGATTTTTCCATCGTCATAATTAGGTTATCCGGCCACCACCTCCCCTTCCCGCTCTCATCGCCACGACCTTCGTGGACCTTCCCCTCGTCCCCCCCCCTCTCTCTCTCTCCTCGGCCCTCCACCCCCTCGTTCGCCTCCGACGTCAAACTAATCGGTCGTATGCCGAACGCTAATCCCCGCCCTGCTCGGCATGACCCGGGCCCCGCTCGCACGCCGCGCAGCAAAACAACAAGTGCTGCAGCGTGGACGATCCTGCGAGGTCACGCCGGGCCGCCCCCTGCACCGCCCCCTGCCCCGCCAGCCGGGCGCTCCGCGCCAAAGAAGCGGCACGGAAGGGCGCAGAGCGTGGGGGAAAAAAAAAGCGTGCCCCTAATTCGGCAACGTGTGCGGATGCCACTGCTGGCGGTCGAAAAAAAAAGATTGTTTTAGGGTGGGGAGGGCATATGTATTTTGTTTTCTGCCATTCGGCATTACGCGGCGCCAGCCAGCTGCGGGGGGAATTGGGTGTTGTGTATCGGCAATCCAGCGCGAGCTCTACAGACAAATGTGCTTTGCGCCGCTGATGAGAATCACTTCATTCGCGCGTCCATTCCGCCTCGCTCCAAGTTGTTGTTTTCGTGTTTTGTTCTCTCCCTCCTTTTTCCCGGCCTTCCTCTCCCTCTCTGCTGGTCCAGATCGGCACAGCACACAGGACTGCTGCGCTTTCAGGATTTCGCGGCGCGAAAGGGGCGATCGAAGCGAGCAGATGCGCCCTTGAGTGCCTCCCGCAGGGCGTTAAGTGCAATGCGGGCGTCGGGGTTGTGTGTTTGAGTGCAGGGAAGGGGTGGAAGGTATGTGTGTCTTAACGGCACGGTTCGCCGGTTCGCCATGAGCGGCGCGCATGTGTGGTACTGGATCGTCGGCTCAGCGCCAACCTTTCTTGTAGGGATCTACTGGATGTAGTACGGTATAATGGGGGAAAAGCTTGGACTTGGTGTGTTGGTAAAAGAATTCAGTTGAAGATAAAACGCCCTGAAACCCCCGTCATCGTTTTTTTCAGAACATTCGAGCGCAGATCGCGAGGAGCCTGGAGCGGATGCGCGAGCTGGAGGAGGAGGTTAAGATGATCCCCGTTCTCAAGGTGCAGCTGTCCGTCCTGCAGGAAGAAAAGCGCAAGATGCTGCTGCAGATCAAGCAGGTCACACCCATCAAGCAGAACGGTCAGTAAGATGAGCGCGCTTCCAGGGTGGCCACCCAGCGCCGTCGGAGCTAATACTAGCATGCAGGCGTGCGAACCCTTTGCCAACGCGCTCGGAGCCCTAGGGTGCCCTAGGGCATCATCGTCATGGCAAATGACGAGAGGCAAGGCAACCCGAACGCACGCTAGAGTTAGGCGCCCAACCCGGCGTGTACCCGGGTGATTTAGAGAAGACGCTGGTGCGAGTGGGTTTGCCTACCTAAGGGGCAATGGCGCCTTATGGGCAGAGGGAGTAGGTAAACCCGCACACCTCCGTCTTCTCTGAATCACCCGGTACAAATGATAGTTTTAACTTTGGCAGTTCCTTTCATCATAAATTTTGTTAAAAAGTATATTGTATTCTTGAAATGTGTTCTCTTCAGGCATATCGCACTTTGACGTGCTGAAGATCGAGGAGCCGGTGCGTTCCCGGGTGCGGCCCTCCAGCCTGGACGGGCTGCACGCCAACGGGCCTCCAGGACCGCCTGAGACGACGGCGACCTCCGGCCCGCCGGGGCCCAAGCGCCGCGCCACCCGCGACATCGGGGTGGGGTGCACTGTGCTGACGAGGGACGTGGGGCTGATGCCGCCGCCGCCCAGGCTGCGCACCGTGGCCGTGGGCACCGAGCCCGGGCCGCAGCGGGCGCCGTCACCGCGGCTCAGCCTCAGCGCGACCTGGACGGAGGACATCCCCCAGGCCGCGGCCACGACGGCGGCCCGCGGCGTGCAGACCACCTCGGCCGCCAGCCACACCCGCGGCGTGCAGACGGACGCGGAGCCGCTGCCGCCGCCGGCCGCGGAGACCCGGGACGCGGGCGTGCAGGCGCAGCCCATGCCTGTGCAGCGCACGCACGCGGGCGTGCTGGCGCGCACGCCCACGGCGGAGGCGGCCGTGTCGTGCGCGCCCAAGACGAGGGACGCGGCGTCCTCGGAGCACACGGTGGACGACGTGCTGTGCGCCAAGTGCAACGTGCGCAAGAGGACCGTCGGCGTGGACGCGGCGCCCTGGAGCGGGCCGGAGGCGGAGCAGGCCAAGCGCGTGTGCCTGAGCGCGCTCGGCGACGCGGCCTCGGCCCCCGAGCCCACGGCTCCCGCTGCCCCTGCCGTCCCCGCCAAGCCCAGGACTAGGACAGTGGGCTGCGGCACGGCGGGCGATAGGATCAACCCGTTTTCGGTGCACCGCGCCGTCAACACCGACCCGCCAACCGTGGCTGCCGTCATCAACCGGGGCGTCAACACGGACGCCATCCCCGCGCCCGTCAAGCCCACCACCGTGTCCAGGGGCACCACTGCCGACGTGCGGACGCCCAGCAGCTCCAGGGCCACCAACACGGACGCGCGCGCCGCGACGGCTGCCCGCGCCACCAACACGGAGCCGCGCTCGGCCACCATGGCGCGGGCCACCAACACGGAGGCCCTGGCGCGGAGGGACGCCGGCACGGCCACCACCAGGAAGCAGCTCGTGGACGCGGGCGTCACGTGCAGCCTCGCCGACCCCAACGCGGCACAGCGGCTCCCGGCCGCGGACAAGTCCCCCTCCAGGGCGCCGTTCGGCGAGGAGCTCGCCCGGGGCGCGCCCACGCCCTCCCCGCCGCCCACGCTCAGCCCGCTGCCGCAGTCGCGCATCCCCAGGCCCAGCTCCACGACGCCCACGTCGCCCGGGCCCCCGCCCCGGAGGCAGTTCAAGCGCCAGGACACGTACACCAAGGAGCCGGCGCCCGTCGTCGACATCACCAACAAGTCACCCCCGCCGCGGAGGGCGCACGCCGAGACTCGGTGAGTGGTGACCGGGGGAAAAGAAAAAGAGGGAGGGGGGAGATTTGCAGCACCATGGGGCCTGTCGGTAGGGTGATGAATGCCTGCGCCACCCTTTGTACGCCTTGAATAGCGAGCACGGCCCCTCTCGGGCTCCGTCTGATCTATCTGTGGCGCTCGTGGCGCTGCGGCCCGGGCGGCCCAGGCAGCCCGGCGCGCGCGCGTGCGTGGCGGCGCTGCCTACTCGCCGGGCCGCCGGGCGCTCGCCGCGCCGCTCCGCCCGAGGCGACCGGGCCGGGCGGGCCGGGCGGTCGCTGATCGCTGAGTTATAGGTCGCCCGACTGGCTGGCTGGCTGGCCTGCCGGCCACCGCCCCGAGGGAGCGGCACTCGCTCTCGGTCGACAAAGAGGGCCTGTGGGAAGAGTGGGGGGCTGAGAGATAGGCACAGTGTGTTGCAGCTTGTAGCGCACAGGGCTCGGCCATGTCCATGGAAAAGCGAGAAAAGTTAAGGGGGAAAGTACGGCGGTGTCACGAGGGAACCTCTTTGTTGGGAGGAGAAGCCAATCACAAAAATTTCCACCCATTAGACTCAACTGATACCCAAAAATAGCTTCTGTGCCTCTATCCGCGGATGCGTGGTACCTGCCGGTGCTACCCCTGTAACCAACAGAGCCGGCGTGCACAGGGGCTGAGCGGAGCCGCCGCCCTCTTCGTCCCGGTCAGTCCTCCGGGGAGCCCAGCCCCGCCCGGCGCGAGTTGGATTCGCTCCACGGAGTCTTTTTAGGTGCAAATGGCTCGCCCGTCCATTCACGTGGGGTTCTTTCGCCCGCCCGGCCCGGGTCCACTGGACTCCCCCGCCTGACATGGCACCGTGCCCAGCCCACCCCACCCCTCCCCGCCCCCGCCGGTCTGCGCACCGCGCCAGACTCACGGCGTCGACGACATCGTTTGAAAATGTCAATTGCCGTTCGCTTTCGCTAATTTCATTTCGAGCCTGCGAAATCACCCGCACTTTTCTGCTCGTCCCGCCGTCGCCGACTACCCCTTCCTCTCTTCTCTGGACGGATTGTTATATCGTGTAAAATTAGACACGCGAGCATCGATTTGGGCAAAAGCGGCTCTTAACCAATCAGGGCTGTGGTCGGCGGCGCCTTTGAGCCGCTCAGACTGGCGGGGAGAGCGAGCGAGTGGCACGCCCTTGGCTCGGCTCGGTCCGGCCGCCCGACCCGGCCCCCGGCCCGACCACACCGCGTTCTGGATTATCTTGCCTCCAGCAAAGAGGCGTCCGGGCCGGGTTGGGCCGTGGGCCCGCGTCAGCCCGCGTGGTGGAATGTGTGCTCTGCTAAGTGCACAATTGTTTTTAGGTTGCAAGTGGCTGTGGCTAACTTTAGTTGTGCGCTGTTAACAAAGAAAACAATCAGGAATCGACCTTGAAAGGCAGATGATATTAATTTAATTTAGGGCTACGCTGTGGTCCAACTCTTCCATATATTTAGAAATGTTTGGCTTTCAAAACTGCGGCGTAGCGACATTCTCGTTAAACACGACAGCACAGACAAGCTGACACATTTAAGTATGTCACCTGTTAGTTTCAGTGTTTAGTTTAAATGTATTATCTGCTACAAAGTTTGTCTCTAAGAACTGCACAAACTCATTGGTTCCACAGGCGCGGCTACTCTACCGCAAATGCGGAGGTCTCGTTCTTGATGATGCTGTTCTTGATGCCGAACCTTGCTTTTTTCTGCAGTTCCACTACAAAGCTTTCGTTCTCGACTAACAACTGCATAAACACAAGTTTTTCCACTTTACAACTAAATAGCAGAGCCGTGCACTTTGATTAGCAGAGTGGCCAGGCCGCCCTCGCGCCCCTCGCTCCGCCCGCCCTGCGCCGCTCTTCACTTACTTGGGCCCTCGACTGCGGTGATTGACAGCCAAGCCCCGTGATTGTCATCACC